TTTCTTTCTTTTTAAAAAAAATCTTATCAATATTTTCATTTCCACTTGTCCATTGAGTCGCTCTCCAAGGATTACAGGATTGGCACCAAGCAGGTAAAGCGTTGTAGTGTTTACAATATTTACATATTTCATTTGAATTGTTTCTTTTTTTCTTAAAAAAAATTTTTTTTTTTTAAAAGAAGAATCCCTTTTGATATTATGAATCCAAATCTAAACTTAACCCCTGACCAGAAGCGTAATATTCTTTTTAATATTTATCAACCAGTTAAGATCCCACTAGACAAGTTTGATAACGACTGGTGGCCTCTAGTCTCAAACATCTGGGTTTAATATAATTATAAGAACCATACAAATGGAAATTCATGGAGAACGTATAACTGCTGGTTCACCAAACATTATCCATCAAGTATGCGAAAAGAAGATATACCAGATGAAAAGCACAGAAAAACTAAGGTTCAACCTAAGAATTTATGCACCGCCAAAATTAAAGTCTTTAGAATTGTTACGGAAATGAAAGTTCGGGTAGAATGGTATAAAGATTCGCCTGATCATATGCATACATTAGAGGATAATGAAAGACTTAAATGATCAGAGGCAGTTCGGGTTTTAGTTGAGAGAGAAGCTGTAAAAAACTATCTGCCTCCAGCAATAGTTGATGCTGTTAAAGAATATGGAACTGAGAAATTAGGTCTTGGGGAAAGCCTAAAAGAATTAAGGCGCAAGAAGGTTACCAATATACAATATAAAGTTCGAGGTTCCCAGGAGGCCCCCCTTATTGATAGCTCAAGACTAGAGTTGGACATCCGAGAGTCAGTTTCTTTTTTAGAAAACCATGAGTATCAGGTTGAACATTATGAAATCACAAGCAAACATACCCATGGTTTCGTTTTCACACATAATAGCCAATTAGAAAAACTTAGACGTTTTGGATGGCTTATACTTCTTGATTCTACTCACAAAACCAACAAACATGATTGGCGCTTATTCACCTTGTACATTTACGATAGCTATGGATATTGGGACGTTGGTTCCCATTTTTATGTAAATAATAAGGAAAGTAATACAGTCGCAGAAGTATTAAAATTAATAGGCATTTTGAATGCTGTTGGATGCCTCGATACATTCTTATTGATCAAAGCAATATCGAATCCAATGCTGTCGAGTTGGCTTTCCTGGGTCTTCGAGTGGGTGAGCAGGAATGCGATGTTATTTACTGTACTGTACATGTTATGCGAACCTGGTTAAGTAAGGTGTATGAAGTAAAAACCAGAAATGAAATGATTCATGCCATGTATAAGCGGACAATGATTGGCTGTGAGGAAACTATCAAACAAGCAGTTGCAAACTGCCCCGTTCCTGCTGTAAAAAGATATATAGAACGAAATTATGCCAGAAATACCTGCTGGTGGGCCCTTTGGGCTCGCCAGCATTCACTACTTCTCTTGCAAATGACTTCCACCAACCCTCTAGAATCGTATCACAGTGAATTAAAGTGAATTACTTCCTCCCATCACGGTCTGATTGGCACATGCAATAAAATTGTAACACTTGATACAAAAAAATGATCAGATTCGGAATATGTGGCTTTCGAATTTCATATTAAAAAATATCAATAGTTGGAATTGATTATAAAATTCTTGATGAAATTCACAAACTTCCCTATCCCATTCAAAGAATGGTTATTGATGAGGTTCTTGCTGTTGAAAAAAGGTTGGAGAAAGGTAAAGAACCTCCAGGTTTGGTGTTATTAGATTGTCAGTGTCTTTTTTTTTGCCATTACTTACTACCCTGTAAGCATATCTTTCATGACCATATTTATGGTACTAATAAGCTATTAACTGCTAATACTTGGGTAAGATTTCAACAAATGTTTGAAGTTAGTGGGTTTGAAATATATGTGCATCGAGAATTAGTTGAAGTCGAAAAACCAGAGAGGACTGAAGCAGAAAAAGCTGCTGAAAATAGACGAATGGTTGTAAACGAGCTAATGAAACATGTACGTGATACATACTGGAGGGTTGAGGAAGAAGAGAATGTTGAACAAACAAATACTTTTATTAGAGAATTAAATTCTCATATAGAGCCGGTCCTAATAAATAATCAGATCCGTTGAAGAGGCAAGTATTTAATAATTTACTATCGCGGATCATAATGAAATCAGATTAAAATGAAATGAGAGGTTCTATTTAACCCTCTAAACCCATTTATACTTGTTTAATATAAATTTTGCCAAAACTAACCTTTAACCAAACCTTAAATTATCATTTTAATCTGATTTTATTTTGATCTGATTTCATTTTAATCTGTATTGATTAGTATAATTAATTAATAGATTATTTTTATTTTAGTCATGCAATATACACGAATAGTTCGAATGGTTCTAGGGTTTGCGCAGTAGCACAAATAAAAAAAAAAATTAGAATTATGATTTTGTTAATTAGATCAGGCATAATTTTATTAAAATTAGGTTAGAAGGAAATAAAAAAAAATAAAAAATAAAAGGTCATGCAATAAAATTTTTTTAGAGAATTCAATAATTAATTGTAAAGTATTTGATATTAAATGATTTAGAGTTTATTACTCTAGCGATATAAATATATTATTATAGTTAATAAAAAGAAACTTAGCATAAATAATTCGAAACCCTATCTATCTATTAAGCTGTATATATTCTTATTAAATAAAAAATTATAATGGTTATCGCGACAAGTATAAGTAAGACCGAACACAATGATTTTTTTTTCATTTTGATTCTACAGATATATAGAATTAAAATAAAAAAAAAAAATTTATCGAATTTTGTTAAGTAGTTGCGGAGATATCTTCAAAACTTTGAGCGAAGGTATCTTGATAACCACTTTGCAATATTTAATGATCTTTTTTTATTTGATTCTACAGATATGTAGAATCAAAATAAAAAAAAAATCATCAAATATTGTTAGGTGGTTATCAAGATACCTTTGCTTAAAGTTTTAAAAAATTTTACCGCAGCTATAATTTTGATAGACATTTGAATTTTTTAAAAATTTTGAGCGAAGATATCTCTGCAACCACTCAACAAAATTTGATGAGCTTTTTTTTTTATATTAATTCTATATATCTGTTGAATTAAAAATAAAAAAAAATGTATCGAATTTTGTTAGGTGATTGCTGAGATATCTTCGCTCAAAAATTTTTAATTTATTCAAACGCCCATCAAAATTATAGCTACGGCAAAATTTTTCAAAACTTTGAGCGAAGATATCTTGATAACCACCCAACAATATTTGATGAATTTTTTTTATTTTAATTTTACATAACTGTAGAATCAAAATAAAAAAAAAATCATTAAATATTATTGGGTGGTTATCAGGATATCTTCGCTCAAAGTTTTGAAAAATTTTGCTGCAACTATAATTTTGATAGGTTCGATTTCGATAAGCGGCTTGGATGCTGCATCTTGCAGAACTGATGGATCAGCCCATTGACGAAGGTGGTCAAGCAATTTTCTCCCAATTTCAACCTTAAAATAATTGGTGATGATAAATTTATTCGATTATTTATAAATATCTTGGGAACTGATGAAGCTATTCAACTCCGAAAAGACATTATGGCTGATCCATTACAGTTAATTGATAAAACTTCGAATATTCAGGACTCAGATATCTCTGATGAGGTGAAATTTCAGAGAATTGTTATTATTCGGGAGATTATAAACTTTCATCCTACTTGGTTGGTTGAACCCTCTTCCGAACCTATTCTTAAATGCCTCAAAGAAGCATGGAATGATCCGGGACGTCTGGAAAGATTGAAACGAGAAGACACTTTAAGCCTATCTCAATGTCGTGAATCCAAGTACCTTGTTGAGATATTCATCTGTTATTTGAAAGAAAATCCAAATGATATTGATTTGCTATTTGAACTAGTAACTATATTTTCTTATGAAAGTGTGATCGACTATACATTCTTAAAAAAATTCTATCAAGAAGAAGTCGCAATGAAATATAGTGTAACACAAAAAAGAGCTATTCTTGACAAGTTTTTAGATAGTTTCATTGATTCTTTTATTCCTGCTAGCGTTAAGATGCAATCTTTAAAGGTTATTATTACTCCAATGCTTTTGTATACATTTGCCAAAGGGCAAGAATATGAACAGATCATTGGAACTGCCCAAATGGATAAGATCCAAAATATTTGGCGTTACCTGGCTGAAACTCATGATGAAATTGAGGATTCATTGCGTATTGAGGTTTTACAATTTTCAACACTTCTCGTGCAACGCGTACCACATCTTATTAGTACACGAAGTGACCTTGCAAAAATTGGTTGGACTTGGTCTAGAGCTGATGATATAACTGCTAAACAAACTGCATTTGTCTTTTTGGCTCAGATCTTTGCAGAATTTGATTCTGTTAATTCAAAAATCCTAGTCCAATCTTATTTTGCACTTTTAAGAGCACATCAACTAGAAGCAAGAACATTAGTAAAACAAGCTTTAGATATTCTTGCACCAGTGCTTCCAAAATTAAAGACGCCGCATCCACTTCCGTCTAAAGAATCTTTTGATGAATCTAAGAAAGATTCCAAAAATAAAAAAGCCCCAACTCCAAGCTGGATTCAATACGCAAAAAAAGTTTTATTAGAAGATGGGTACAGCGTTTCTCAATTGGTCAATGTTTACCAATTGCTAGTGCGGCACCCTGATTTGTTTTATGAACACAGAGAACATTTTATATCCCAGATTGCGAATACATTGACAAGATTAGGATTACTTCAAAGCGCTACTGCCGAGACTCGACTTTTGACCATAGATCTCTCTGAATTAATTTTAAAATGGGAAAAGCGTAGAATTTCTGAAAATCGCATCCCAGAGCAATCAAGTGCATCATCAACTCCTGCTATGACACCAGACAAACGTCGCATTGACTCAGAACCAGAATATTCTCCACGTAAACGAATAGTGATTGAACATGGTGGTGAATATAGGAGTATTGTTGCAGAACCAAACCAAAAGTATATTCCGAACATAAATTTACGAGAAAGCGTGGTCGGATATCTTACTCGATTTGTGTGCACCTCTAGCGAATCAGTCAGTAAATCTGGTTTGGCTCGCCGAGCGTTAGAATTAATAAAAGAATTTTTGCTTCCTGACTTTTGGCCTGAGGTTAACGTGAAACTTTCTGCTTTTGAAAGAACTCTTAAATATACAGAGGTTAGTCCAAATATACTTAATAGTGTGTGCAATAGTTTGGAAGTTTTAAATGTAATACTTGAAAGAAAGCCAGCAGATTGGTGTCTTGCAAATATTGTCCATCTTCAACAATTATTGGAGACTAGTATCGGAAACACACAAGTAAGAATCCAAGAATGTCTCCATCCGGTACTTGTTCATATGTATAAATCTTTGGCTCCACCACCATTTGAGGAAGCTGCTCCTTTAAATCCAGAACAACCATCCTCACCTGATTCTGAAGTTGAAAATTTTATCAAAATTATCCATACTACAATTCAAGAAGGCCTTCAAAATATGAACACAAATAATTTATATACTGCAATGATGTTATTAAAATCAGTGGGCTGCAATACTCCAAAGAACCTTGATCCTTTTCTAACAGGAATTATTCAAGTCATACAAAAACTTACCAAAGATGTTACTACTTCACCGCCGAATGCTTCCACCAGTAGTAGTAATTTAAATGGTGCACATCCTCCTGATTCTCCAATAAACGTTCTTATAATGGCTTTGCAACTTGTGAACTCACGAATTTCGGAGTTGACCGAGCTAAGACCTATTTTTCTCGCAGCACTTTCCCAATTAATAGAGAAAACTAATGATTATGTGCTTTCGCGAACTATTTTTGAAATGGCTAAAGAGTGGGTTATTGGTAAATTGGAGCCCTTTCCTACTCTAGATGAAAAATCGGACATACTAGTTAAAATGTTATGTTTCGAATCTTTAGACGATAAGACTTTAATTGAGGATTTTTTGAATCTCGTTATCTCTATATATAGCGATCCTTCTTTCACTAGATCTGAGATGACAGTGAAGTTAGAAAAAGCATTTTTAATTGGCACTCGCTATAATAATCCCAAAATTAGAAATAAATTTATGGATATATTTGATCATAGTATGGCTCGATTGTTGTCGACGCGTCTCTCATATATATTATCAGAACAAAATTGGGAATTTTTATCGGATTATTTTTGGCTTCATCAAGCCTTAGATGTTCTTTTAGGTTCTGTTTCATCTAAGAAAAGGGTTCAGCCGCCAACATTCAGTTTACAAACAAAGTCTATCGCAACTCTTGGTGGGTCTTCGAATTTACAATCATTGACTCCTAGCAAAGAATTGGAAGACTTTTTAATAAAACATCGAGAATTTTTGCGTGACCTGAAAAAAATGCGTGTCGGTGATCTATTACCGTATTTAAAACAGCTACACTATTTGGATGATAATTTAACATATAAACAGTGGGTAGGCCTTTTTCCCTTTTGTTGGGCCTCCATTCCTTCTAAGGAAAGGCAAGATTTATCTAATAATTTGATAGCGCTCTTATCAAAAGAATATCATGCAGCACAATCAGACTTAAGACCTAATTGCATACAAGCGTTATTGGAAGGTATATCTCGTTGTTCACCTACCATCAGACTACCACCACATTTGGTAAAATTCCTTGGAAAATCTCATGGTGCTTGGCATACAGCTATGGAAATTCTCCAGACCACTTATGAGGGAATCAAAGAAGACGATAAATTTAAAGAAAGCATTTTAGATGCACTGGCTGATCTGTATTCAACCCTATCAGAGGATGATATGTTCTACGGTTTGTGGAAAAGACGATGTAAATTTGCAGAAACACATTCTGCAATATCATACGAACAGTGTGGAAACTGGACACAAGCGTTGCTTGCATATGAAACCGCGCAAACAAAATCACGAGCATTGGGTTCTCCATGTACTGAGTCAGAATATCTGTTGTGGGAAGATCATTGGGTCATGTGCTCCCAAAAGTTGCAACAGTGGGACATTCTCATTGACTTTGCAAAAAATGAGAATAATATAGATTTAATGTTCGAGAGTGCTTTTCGTTTAATAGAATGGTCTACGGAGAAAGAGATTTTCGAACAAAATATACAAGTATTTTCAGATTCACATCAAATCTCGAGACGAAAAATGTTTGAGTCATTCGTGAGTTTAATGAAATCTCAACAAACGAACAATTATGAAGATTTTAAAAAAATTTCAGAAGAAGCGCATCAATCAGCTTTACGCAAATGGCACACACTTCCAAATGTAGTTTCACAGAGCCATATTCCCTTACTTCACTCATTCCAGCTCTTGGTTGAATTTGATGATGCTACAAGAATGTTTTCGTCCTTAGCAGATATTAACCATCAAAACGCTGATACTAAAGCTAGTGAATTAAAGAGTGTATTGCAAAGCTGGCGAGAGCGATTGCCAAATATGTGGGACGATATAAATGTGTGGAGCGATATTGTGGCATGGAGACGTCATGTTTTTAATGTAATAAATAAATCATTTGCACAATTTCAGGCCCAGAACACAACTAATACTATGGCCAATACCAATTATCCATTCCGTGGACACCACGAAACAGCATGGACCATAAATAGATTCGCACATGTTGCAAGAAAGCATCAGCTTTCTGAAGTGTGCATCAATTTCTTACAACTAATTTATAATTTACCGAACATTGAAATACAAGAAGCATTTTTGAAACTAACAGAGCAAACTAAATGTCATTATCAAAATCCAAATGATGTAGCTAATGCCCTGGATGTTATAAACAATACTAATCTTAATTATTTTGGGTCTCAACAAAAGGCTGAATTTCATACTTTACGCGGAATGATACAGGCCAAGTTGAGTCGAGACCATGAGGCTAATGATAGTTTTTCACGAGCCGTGCAAGTGGATATGCGCCTTCCTAAAGCCTGGGCTGCATGGGGACATTATTATGATAATAAATTTAAATCAAATCCTGATGAAACGACTTTTGCTGCTAATGCTTTAAGTTGTTATTTACAAGCAGCTGGCCTTTATAATAGTCACAAATCTAGAAAGCTGCTTGTTCGTATTTTATGGCTTTTGTCAATTGATGATGATAAAGGACATATATCTCGAGTTTTTGAAACTTATAATAGTAAGAGTGAAGTTCCGGTATGGTACTGGATAACTTTCATACCACAACTTATTGCTTGTCTATTGCATAAGGAAGCAAGGCACGCACGTACAATTCTTATGAAGATCGCCAAACAGTATCCTCAGGTAATCTATGACCCTATTATTAATTTTTATTTAAAAAAAAAAGTATCCTGTTACATTTCATTAACTGTTATTTTTAAATAGGCTTTGCACTTCCAATTACGAACAGCACGAGAAGAATCCATGCTGATTAAAAAGCAGGCTGCTGCCCTGGCAGTCCAACAGGCACAAGCACGCGCTGGACAGATTTCATCTTCCGTTGTTAATACATCAGGAGCTCCTTTAACATCAATGCCCCCGTCCGTTACCGGTAACGAAGGGGTGATAGCGAATCAATTAAATACAAACGTAATTGTTAATGGAAACGGCCACAGATCATTACAAGTGAGCCCAGAGCAATCGAGTCCTAGTCAAGCAAGCTCTGACCAAATGAGCCCTCAAGCAATAAACTTTTCACAATCAAGTCCCATGCCATCACAACCTCCGCAAAGTCCTGCGATTCAAATGGGAAATAATGGTAATAATGCTATTAATGGATCAATTAGTCATATGCCGACACCATTGCCTAATACTTCAACACAAAACATGCAAAGTATGAATGGAGTTCATAATGGAATGTCCTCAAGTGTACCGGGTACGCCTTTAAGTGGCCATGTACCTACTACACCAACGAACGGAATAATACATAATACGCCTATCACTCCCACAAATGTATCTCAGAATGCTCATCCTTCAACTCCAACTAACAACATTGAACACGGACGATCTCCAATTACTCCTGGACTTGGAATGAGTACAAATCCTCATACGTTACAAAATCTTGCACATACACCTCAGTCTCAGCAAGTATCGAAGCAACCATGGGAACATATTGAAGATGTAATGTCAATTTTAAAAACATCATTTCCATTGCTTGCTTTATCGATCGAAACTATGGTGGACCAGATTCAACAACGTTTGAAACCATCATCTGACGAAGACATTTACCGCTTGATCGTTGCGTTATTAAATGATGGAGTGCAGGTATTACCAATTATTTTCTTTTATTTGTTAAAACATCTCTATAGACCTGATTATATTTAAATTAATGCTTTATCATAGCAAATCATTAACCGATTAAATTATCCTAATGATGATGGTACGCTAACCCCGGTGATTGAGACGAATATTAAACGATTTGCAGAAAATCTATTACCTGGAGCTATTAAGGTTTTTTCTGTGTTTTTAGCATTTTATAACATATTCCTATGTGCAATTATTTTTAATTTATTTATTTATTTCATTTAATAGACAGCATTTGTAAATGACTTTATTACAAAAGAGCCGAACTTGGCGCAGTACGTCGAAACACTCCGCAAGTGGAGGGATCGGTTTGAAATTGTTTTGGACAGTAAGCCTCGAACACAACATTTGGAACATTTCAGTCCGTATTTAGTTGAATTTCAGCATCAAAAGTTTGAAGAAGTTGAAGTTCCAGGACAGTACTTATTGGTAAGGTCTATTGCAATTTTATATATTTATTTATTAATGTCTAACGTTTTGCTTACTCGGGTGGGGGGGTTTTTTTTTTTTTTTTGATCAGCATAAATTTCACAATAATACTGAATTTGTTCGTATTGATCGATTTATGCCGGAAGTTGAAGTTATTAGATCACATGGGATCTGTTACAGAAGGCTTACCATACGTGGACACGATGGGAGCCTTCATCCTTTTGCCGTTCAGCTTCCGTCAGCAAGACAAAGCCGTCGTGAAGAGCGAATAATTCAACTTTTTAGGATACTCAATACGTAAGTTGTTTTACAATTTACTAACGTAATTATTAATGCATTATTGCTTTGCTAATAATATTTTTAAATGTTTAGCGTGTTGGAACGTCGCAAAGAGAGTCGTAAACGTAATATTTCCTTCCACCTTCCTTTAATTATTCCATTAGGACCTCAGATTAGGATAGTGCAGGACGATCCTTCATATTGTTCATTGCAAGAGATTTATGAAGATCATTGCGATGTTACTGGAATTTCCAAGGATGAAGCAATAATCTACTATACTAACAAAATGAGAGCCAACAATCGAGATGCTCGGATGGTAATAAGATTATATATTATAACTTATCATCGTGCTGAAAATATTAAGTTCAATTATTTTTAATATAATACATTGTAGGTCAAAGATCTGACAAATTTGAGAGTCGAAGTTGCTGAACAAATTGCGTCTAAATTTATTCCAAGTGACATACTTACAAAAGTTAGTTAATCTTAAATAATTTGCTTGATTACACCATACTGACTCCATTATTTAAAATAGTTTATGACAAAGACAATGAAATCACATGAAAATCTTTGGACAATAAGAAAACGATTCACTTCCCAAATGGCTGCTGTATCTTTTATGACATACATTATGTCTATTAATCAAAGATATCCTCACAAATTTATGATTTCGCGGAATACTGGCAACATTTGGATGACTGAATTACTTCCTGGTATATCATTTATTTCATACGGAGTCATTTCAATTGAGATGAATTTATCTAATTTTAAATAAATGTATTAGCGTTTACGCCGAATGTGCCAATGTTGCACAATAGTGAAGCGGTGCCGTTCAGATTTACGCGCAGTCTACAACACTTTATGACACCAATTGGTATCGAAGGTGTTTTCAGCTCAGGTATGGATTAAATTTATTTATTATCCATGAATTGAATACGATTCGTACTATAATTAATTTATATTCACAACATTTAATATGTGAAAAGCATTGATGGCAATTGGCCGCTGTCTAACCGAACCCGAAGTAAGATTTCCTAATTAATTTAAATAATTAAATAAATCCAATAGCTAATATATTCAATAACAAATTTTATAAGTTTGATTTGGGACAATATCTGGGCATATTTATCCGAGATGAACTAATTACTTGGCATTACATGATCCAAAGACCCGTTAACGAACAAAATCTTCGACAAAAAGTAGCGTTAAATGTGGATCAGATTGTCAATAAGGCACAAGCTATTGGAAGTTTTGATATAGAACGGGAAAAGGTAAATTATGCGCAAAACATTGATTTTATTTTATGAAAATAAGTGACAAGATTAATTATTCTAACATTTAAACAGACACCTAATAATTTGAAGTTGAACAGTTCAGTATTAGAATTAATAAAGGCAGCGACTAATACACAAAACTTGGCCGCTATGGAAGTGCGTATCATTTTTACAATGATTTAAATTAATTACCAGAGAATTTAGCTAATCGTATTTATTTATCATTATCAAGGTTAATTGGATGCAATGGTTGTAAATTTTTCATTTGTGAGATATGTAATATTTATTTGGTTAGAAAGCATATTTGCATCGATAATAATAGTGTAAATAGAATAATCAAATCGGAATTCTTGATTTTTTTTTATATAATAATATACATAAATACGTACGTACGTACATGGTTGAATCGTATGATGATCCATTTATATAAATGGAAAGGAACAAGAATGTTTGCAGAACGATTCGACTACAATGCGAGTATGTACTACATCTAAGATTTCATATATGTGTGGGACAAATTAAAATGTCAACTTTATTTAGCAAGATTAGCGTAATAAGATCTGTTGTGGGTAATCGACGAATTGAATGAACCCTGTTTTCAAGTTTGTGGCTTTCATCATTCATAAACGCGGCTAAGAACTTCGAATTAAAACGCGCAAATCAAAAGCGAAAATCTTATAGTAATAAGCCACAGTGCGATATCATCTTTAAAAAACAATATTTTCGAAATAATTTAAAGGTAATAAAAATATTAACCATTTTATTGGAAGTACACCTAATGTAAAGAAAGTTTGAAATAAACAGCGCCTATTTATTATATAATAAATATTTGTAATTTTAAATTTTGAAAAAAAAACTTGTCACGTCACAATGAGGGTTGTCTTGTATGAATAATTGATGTCACACTGCCGCAAATCTTCCGTTTTCATGTCTCTTTCTCTCCTTTCAACTCTACCCGCGCTGCCTGCAGGACAACCATTGTACACTTTATATGCTCACATCGCCACTTCCATTATCGGTATTAAAGAATGACGTCAATAAGCGAGGCGTTTTGTTTTCATCTCGCACAAAAACCCAATTTTCACTGGCCGAAAACATCCTCGCTTTTGTCAAACATGCTGCAACAAAAAATTTGTCATTTCCCCCTCATTCCCCCTCTGATATATAAAAGAAGTTATCAATTTTTACTTTTTAAAATCTATTATTTCTTCCATTTCAATAAAAAAAAAAAAAAAACTCGTTTGTAACCAACCTATTTTGGATAAAGTTTTGGTTTTTTTATTATATTCATGTCTTCTCTAATAAGTACTAGTGATAGTGAAAATTCTCTCCCTTCAGTCGGAAGTCACTTAGGTTTGTTGAAATGTAAATGGGATGATTGCTCTTCAAGCTTTACACTTTTAAACGACTTAGTAAACCATTTGCACGAAGGTAGCCTATAAATACTCCTATGATACACCTGGTTACCAACAAGTTTCCCCGATATAGAAGGAACTGTTGAACTAGTGTGACCACTTTTCCTTACTTTACAATTTTATCTTCTCCGCGTTCTCTTTCTAATTTATTCTTTCTTGTTTAGACCACGTAGGTCGTAAAAAGGCAAATTATACCTGTGAGTGGGATAGTTGTCCGAGAAAAGGTGCTACTCAAACCTCACGGTTTGCTTTGATCACTCACTTAAGAAGTCACACTGGTGAGAAGCCGTACGATTGTAAAGAGCCGGGTAGATCTTTTTCCTCTTATACCTTTTTTTCTCATTTTCTGTATTGCATTAAATTCTCCTTACCTTATTATTAATAGGTTGCGAAAAGAGTTTTACGCGACCGGACTCATTAACCAAGGTATCGTTTGCTAATTTAATTTTTGCTATTTAAACTAGTGACCAATCTTTTTATTTAAATTATTCGTACTTTATTATAGCATATGAAGAGCCAACACGTAGATCCACGAAAGAAACGTATCATGGAAGAAGGTCAAAGAACATATAAAAAACGAAAATTGTCAACGTCTCCGGAAGATGATGATGATGAATCACATACTTCTCATAGTCTTCAATCTAGTAGGCAACCGCGTTTAAATAATAATCAACATCACATTATATCACGACAGAGATTGAATTCTTCTCGTCAACCTTCTGAAAGACCAAGACAACAATCGTCTTCACGTCAACAGTCTGAAAATTCTTATCCAAATCGTAATTACACATCTGATGATGATACTTCGGTATCTGAAGTTTCGGATGTATCTTCAACAGATGATGATAATGATAAATCTTTTTACGAGAAGTATCTCGTTTTAAAAGCTAAACATAGATATATTCGAAGAGAAAATGAATTACTTTTAGATGAATATCAATCCACCAAAAAGAAATTGAAAAGACTAAGAACAGAAAAAGACATTCTTTTAGACGCTGTTGTGGCTCAGGATGGCGATGGTTAATTCGTGGTTGTATTTGCATTTTACATGTGCATATATATAATCTATATATACATCATTGTACATAAAAAGCTTTTACTAATTGGATTGAGTAATTTATTTGTAAGCTTTCTAGCGTAATAAAATAAATCGTTCGATCCTCTTCTAATATTTTTTTGTATTATAATTTATATTACATTACTGACTATTAATTTTTGTAGTACGTATTTTTATATTTCATCAATTTCCCTAGTTCCAGTGAAACGTTCTTTGGTTAAGTAATCTACTTCTTAACATATCACGTGTCGGTTTTCTCTCATAAATAGTAAAATACAATTAGTAGAGTATAGAACAATTTTTATTTTATTTGCGGCAGTTATAAATTTTGCTAGATTATACTTACTATATATAGATATAATAAAAGTTAGCCTTTAGACTGTAGAGTTTATTACTTCATCGCTATAAAAGTTTACTATATTTACACTTAAAAAAAAATTAATTATACTGGAATATATATAAATAAGAATTGCAGTATACGTACTGTATAATTAAGCTTTTAAAAAAATGTGTTGCTTATAAATCATTATATAGAATAATTTTATTTACAAATTTTTATATAGTAAACATCGTTTTTTCTAATTTTGTACAATAAATTTTTTTGACCCTAATAGTATTATTAAACTGTTTTAACCTAACAGATTTTTAAATCCTACCAATTGTTGAATAGCCGTTAACTGTATCACAGAGCTATTTTTCGAAAACGTCATCCATGGAATGAAAAAATTCTGTATGTACATAAGATTAATTTTTATAATATATTGTATAGATATTATATAATATGTATACATAGTTAAACTATTTATTTTTTTATAGCAATGGGCCAAAAATTAGATTTTGTAATTTTATCAAAATTATATGTTTATCATTTTAATTTTTAAGAAATTATTTTAAAAAATTTTTTTTGCCTTATTGTTCTTTTTTGTTTTTTTTTTTTTTTAATGTTAAAGGTGAGACCATGTATTGTTCTTTTTTGTTATGAGAGTTACTAAATATATAGTAATATATTTTATTATTGTAATATAGAAAATCTTGGTGGGTCAACTATATTACTTAATTTACTATAATATACAGAAAGTAAAAAATATATATACAAAGACAAAGCAAAAATAAAACTAAAATTCAAAAATAATAACTAAATAAAAACTAAAACAAAAATATATAATATAAAAAAATAAACTTCAAAGCCAACCTAAAGATACAAATTTTGACACTATTAAAAGAAAAAGATATGATTAATACATATAAAGGTATTCAAATACCCATGTGGTCAAATAAAACCTACAAGTTGAGAATCAACCACATATAGGTATCTAGTAAATGGAGATGTAGCATAGTAATTTTCAAAATAAATAATATAGTTATATGTACAGAAAGCAATTACAAGCTAATAAGAGCAAGTATTGCTACAGAACTAGAGTTAAGAAAAGTTGCTACCAAAAATAAGATATAACAAATATAAAAAAATTAATATTGATCTAGACAAAGTATCTAGAGAAGACTAATAACAATACAAAACCAAGCTAGAGTAAAGATTCAAAAACCTGTAGCAAAAAAAAAACTAAAAAGTCTTGATAAACAATAGAAAATTATAAAAAAAAGTGCCTAATATTAGCTGCAATAAAAGTTTTTCTAAAAAGAACAAGATCTCTAAAATATTACAAATTAGCAAAGAAGACAAGAAAAAAAGAATATTAAAGCTCACAGTTAAAGCATACAATAAAGAACATAGCAAAATCAAAAAGAAAAATCTATACAAAAGTAAAAAAGACTAAATTTTAAATACTTTAAATAAAGTTAAAAAGCTAGTAAATTTAAAGCCTAAACAACAAATAGTAATACTAAGCAGAAAAAAATTACAAAAATTCTATATAAAGAATAGAACCAAAAAATTAAAAAGCTAGAAGAAACTAAAATTAGAAAAAATATAAAAGAGAGATGTAGCTTAATCATATATAATATAATTAAATAAAAATACTAAACAGCCTTCTTAACTAGCTATACAAACAAATCAAACTAGACAGAGTTGTTAAAACAATAAAAGAAGAAGCAAAGCTATTACAAAAGCTAAGAGAAGTATTAAATGAAGTTAGAAAGTATATTGAGAAGCAGTTTCAATAAAGAAATACTATACAGATATACTATATTAGCAAAATTAATAGAGTAAAATATTATAAAATAATTTATTTATTTTTTTTTTTTTTTTATATATTAAGGTGACCACTTAGGTCCCCGGCACTTGGCTTTATTCAGGTAATTACGATATT